TTACCATGAGGCATTGTGATGTGCTGAACGTATGTCATTTAAGGTCTGTAAACAAAATAATTTTGTCTTTGAATATGTTCAAGTCTCTATTGTTACAGTGTAACTTGCTGAAATTAGGACCTGCAATTGTGTATTAGTGTCATATTGTAGATGTTGCTGCTTTTTAGTATGTAAGGAAGAGTAAATGATTGTTACAGTGAATAAGATTTATAATATATTTATAGTCTTGTAAGATTTACCATCTTCATTGGGTGCACTGAAAATCAACACTTATTAGTCCAACCCACCTGGGCTACGTCTACACTGGCCCTTAATCACGGAAAAGCTATGCAAAAGAGGTAAGTCAGGATAGGGAAATCCGCGGGGGATTTAAATATCCCCCGCGGATTTAAATAAACATGTCCGCCGCTTTTTTTCCGGCTTGGAGAAAAGCCGGAAAAAAAGCGTCTAGACTGGCGCGATCCTCCGGAATAAAGCCCTTTTCCAGAGGATCTCTTATCCTTTGAAGTAGGAATAAGAGATCCTCCGGAAAAGGGCTTTATTCCGGAAGATCGCGCCAGTCTAGACGCTTTTTTTCCGGCTTTTCTCCAAGCCGGAAAAAAAGCGGCGGACATGTTTATTTAAATCCGTGGGGGATATTTAAATCCCCGCAGATTTCCCTATCCTGACACCTCTTTTGCATAGCTTTTCCGTGATTAGGGGCCAGTGTAGACGTAGCCCTGTTGTTTAGAGGTGGGAGATGAGCATCATCTGTGAAAATTAAATTGTCTCTCTTTCTACAAATTCCATGCTCCACTTCCTTTTCATGGTGAAATAATATTTTGGTATTTTTTATGTTTTATATAACAAAGGCAATCTGCATTTGTCTATCTTTTGTATTGGTGTAAAATTCAGTGTTGGAATTTTTTGAGAGACCAAAATTAGTAATGAATAAAAGCTTGTGTGAAAATGGAAACTAGAGTATTATAAATTGGAGTCCCCAAATGCATTCTGTCACTTGAAAATTTATACAGGTGATTTCAAGACCAGCTTTCTGTGTTTCTTTCTAATAAGGTGTAGCCTCTTTTTAGCAAGATAGGAGCTAATGTTGACTTTATAATTCTTTTCTCTCCTAAGTAAAATATAAATCTACTTTAAATTTTTCATCTTTTTTGAGAGAGAAATTTATTTCTTATAGCTGTGTAAAAATCCAAATTGTATTCACACATCTTAGAGGAATAAACTTTTACTAAAGCACTAATCCATTCTCCTGCCAGTGCAAGTTTCTTCCCTGTATTCAGTGTTTTCTCCATTTTGGTTAAAAATAAATAAGGTAATGGGGTTTCCCCCTCTAATTTAATAGATCTGAGTTTTCAGGGAACAGTTTTCCTGATACTCATTCTTAGAATATTCCCTTGCTTAATGTAACCCGTTTTACTTGTATCAAGTCCAAATGAGTGTGTTCATCTGAACATTTGCTTACTTAACCACTGTTGTTTAAAGGGTGTGGCTTTCTGTCATTTGACTTAATTAGCCTGCTTTGCCAACATCTTCTGATTAAGTGGAGAGAGGCTGTAAAATGACTTTCTAATAATAAAATGAGTTCTGTATTGTCCAGAGCTCGTAGCATTCTATGAAATCTTGGTTAATTTTAGGTTTGAGGGTGGACAGAGTTTGTGAAGGCCTATGCTCAGTTCTGTGGCTGTCTGTCTAATGAAATAACTTGAACTTCTTATCAGTGCAGAGTTTCAGACATTTTTTCAGGCATGCATGGTCAGAACTTTGCTATTACTGGGCAAGATTCAGAAAGGGGAAAAATGGGGATACATGGAACCCTAACAGTTAATTAGCACAGCCACAGCTCTGAGTACCTCTGTAACTGGCTATAGATTAGGGCCCTACCACAGCCATGAAAATCACATCATAGAGCATGTAATCTTGTCTCCCCAACTAAAATCTGGTGTTTTCTGTGTTTTACCCAATACTCTACAGATATCATGGGGGAAACCAGCATTTCTCAAACTGGAGGTATTTCCCAAATGGGAGTTGCAGGATGATTGCAAGGTTATTTTAGGGGGATTTCAGTATTGCCATCTTTACTTCTGCATTGCCTTCAGAACTGGACAGTTGGATAGTGATGGCTACTGCCTGAGGCAGGCATCAGCACAAAACTAAGAGTGGCAATACCATACCATCCTTACTACAGCACTGTTGCTGCATACTGGCACTGCCTTCATAGCTGGTATCCCATCAAGCAGCCACTGCTCTCTGCTGCCCTTCTCTGAAGGCAGCGCCACCACTGTGAGCAGCACAAAAGGCAGTACCACAACCCTCCCCCATATTAAGCTTGAGACCAGTGTTCTCTGTAAGCTGGGTGTTCGTATTGCCACTCAGACTCAAATACTGCCCAGCTGATTAGCAAAGCACCCACAGCTAGTTTTTTTGTTACTACTGGTGGTCCACGTTTGCACGTCTTGGTGCACATAAAAATTATTCTGCACATGCATGGAAAAGATTAGAGGGAACATTGCTTGTGCCCTGACTCCCCCATCACAGCTCCTTTTTTGGTTATGTCTCCTACAGCTACACCACCAAGACATATCAGATTTGAATGCCTGAAATCATGACATTTATTTTAAAATCCTATGGCCATGGAATTGACCAGAATCAATCTTGAATTTGGTAGGGCTCCAGCTCTAGATAAAAGGACTGTTGATAGCACCCATTAACACTTGCCAGCATAACAATACTCCATCTCTTTTGCTTGTCCTCCCAATGGAGTTTAAGATGTTGATACTCTCAATGATTTATATCTCAGAAAGAAAGAAGACAGATAACTTGGGGAACTAGGAGGAAGTAGGGGCAGAATTGGGGAAGAGCACACAGTTCCTGACATGGGGGATCCTGGTATGGGGGGAGGAAGAATAGAGAGAGGCTTACTGAACCCCTGGCAGGGGAAGAATAGGTGATCCTCCTGGTAAGGGGCTATGAGGACACACACAAAGCCTCTGCCTTTCAGGCCTATCTTAACCAATGTACACTTGGGGCACTTTTACAGGGCTTCCATTTTGGGGGGAGAATCCTAAAGTACTGAGTAGTGTTACACCTCTGTGCGCTGGTTAGCAGGTAGTGCCTGTTATTCAAATTTGGCCCAGCTGCTGCTCCATCGTAGCTTGGATCAGGAGTGGAGTGCTGAGGCAAGGGAGTTGGAGGGGAGAGTACATGGCCATGAAGATCCTAGATAGGAATGTAAATATTGATCAAAACTGTTCATCGGTTAACCGATTAAAATTATATCGTGTAACCAGTTAATTGTTGTTGGTGGTAGAGCAGCCAGGGTAGGGAGGTCTTACTGTTACTGCGGCAGGCTAGTTGGTCTGGCTACACTGGGGCCAGGAGTTGGGTCAGCTGGAGCCACCAAGAACTGGAGCCACAGCTGGAAGCCAGGGCTGCAGTGCAGACAGAAACCAGGGCCACAGGATGCGGATCATTGTGGAACGGCTGTGGCTGGGTTGGGGTCTGGGGCCAGGGCTGCTGGTGCAGCTGCGGGTGGATCCCTCAGGACTGGGATAGGGTTGCCAGGTGTCCGGTATTGGCCCAGACAGTCCGGTATTTGCGGCCTCTGTCCGGTTAAAAAAAAAAAAAAAAAAAACCCAGAAAATACCAGACGTGAAAAAGTCCGGTATTTTTTGTTTTCCTTGGATGGAAAGTCTTGGATGGGAAAGTCTTCT